AGGCAGCTGACAGTGAGTCTCACAACCTCAGTGTGTTGTGTGGTAGTTGAATTTAAGCTGTCTGCTGGCAGGGGACCTAATGTTGGGAATAGTTGGCCGATTCCAATGGAAACGGCCTGTTGTAGTTTTTTCCATGGATTTAGGCAGGACACTTGGGTGACACAGACTGTTATTCTCAGGACTGCATCGCTCAAGTGTCACTGAAGCTTGGGGACGTATTTAAGCCTCAGTTTGCCGCCTCCTTATGGTTTGACGTCTGCTTTCTCAGTGCCGGATGTGTCCTATCATTTTTCCCTTGGTCTCATACCACCGCTAAAGTGCTATGGCAAGGTTTCAGAAAAGGCAGATTCTCTGTAACAAACCTATTATCAGCCTGGAACGATTGGACATCATGCTGAGATATGAATGTTCCAGTCCATGTGGTCTTCCTATACTTTGAGAAGGCATTTGACACTGTTCACCATGACCTCCTACATAAAATAAGCCAGGCAGGCATAAATGAGCCACTTCTCTCATGGTTAAAGGACTACCTAGCCGACAGGCAATTTTGCACTAAGGCTAACCGAGTCTGATTATCTTGGCTCAACTCGTCATCAGGAGTGTCGCAGGGTTCTATCCTAGGACCACTGATGTTTTTGATTTTTATCAATGATCTACCACGCCGTCTGAGCTGCTCGACTCTCCTGTACGCTGACGACGCAAAAATATGGAGGGCGATAAAGTGTCCGGAGGACTCAGATAGGCTACAGGAAGACCTAAACCTTCTGGAAGACTGGGCGGTGGCCAGTGGAAAGACTTTCAACTTGAAAAAGTGCAAAGTAGTGAAGTTGCGCACCTGTAGACTGCAGAATGCAAGTTACACCCTGTGCAATGAAAGCTTGTCCTGCACAACGTCGGAACGCGACTTAGGTGCAGTTCTAATGGAAAAAATGGACACAAGCGTAAATTACACAGGAGATGTTGCGAGGGCATATGCGGTCATACACTTTACGCATAGACAGTTAGGTGCACTCACTCCTGAGCTCTTTCTAGGGCTGCACAAAACATACGTCAGACCATACCTTGAAGTGCGTAATATTATTGCACCCCCACTGCTTAGAAGAGACACCAACCTTTTGGAAAGAGTCCAACGGCGGACAACAAAAGGAGTGGTTGGTCTCCGAAACAAACCATATGATGAAAGGCTGAAGATATTAGGCCTGTTCACACTTAGCTACCGTCGTTTTAGGGGGATTTGATTACTGCCTACAAAATAACAAATGACCAGAATCACCCAAACAAAGGTGTTCTGCCATTGAGTAGGCATAGGCTCCCACGTGGAAATCCCAGAAGGATAGCTCACCAGAGGGCAAAGATCCTGGTGCGCTCCCACTTCTTTTCACTGCGGGTTTGCTGTCCCTGGAGTTCCTTACCGGCAGATGTAGCTATGGCACAGTCTATAGACGCCTTTAAGCGAAAGCTGGACAACCATGCAGCGACACAAGGACTGCATCCAAATTGCCTATCCCCTCAAAATCGCATACACCATTCAGGGGTAGACAATTAAACTCGTCGTTTTGCTTCCTTACATTCTCTCCTGTCTCGCTCTCCTGACATCTTATTAATGTTATAATTATTATTATTCTTCAGACTTAATCAGCTGACTATTGTTGCGCTTTCCTATTTTCGTTTCTGTCTCTTAGTCTGAATAACTTCACTAATTATATCTGTTATTATTATTACTATTTCTTTTCTCTTGTCGACGATACCGAGGGACTAACTGGCGAAACGATCAACTCCAGTCACAGTAGTAACAGTCTTAACATACCTCATACTACAAACCACATATAATTAATCCCAGCACTACTCCCTTTGGAGTCAACCAAAGCTACGACAGTCGAGTGGCGGGACAAGCTACGCAGAAGTTTACCGAAGATCAGGAACCTATACATTACAATCAAGAAGCGAGCACAAAGAAATCAAATTGGTTTATACTAGCTCGTAAAAACGATATTAGATATTGGATACTAGCTCGTAAAAACGATATTGAATATTGGATTGCTCGTAGTCAGGATATTCAGATTTAGGTCTACGCCTCAAGGTTACTTTAAATAAATGTTTGTTTTGTGGTAAGACTCATAGCGTTTGTAGTCCTTTAATCTAAGGACTATAAATAAATAAATAATAGCTTTAATGTATTCGGAATAGTCATGTGACGAATTACAGTACCAAACTAGAAGACGCACATGTAATTTTGATATTGTAAGGCGAATTTTAGGATTTAAACAGATTACTAAGATTTTTCGCCTTAATAGAGGTATTTTGCATCTTTCCAGTTCATTGTTATCATTTCAGAAGTTTGAAAAACTAGAAAAAATTTAAAATACATCGAAGAGCAACTATTTAGTCTCGCATGTCGGAATTTTCATTGCTGCAATTAACACAAAGTTAGCCAATTACAGAATGCTTAGCCTATGCGCTTATTACTACGTTCATTTTACAATGTTATACATCATTGTTTACTTCATCCACTTAAGCCAATTTCATATGAATGGTTTGGCATTTTATAGATATGCATGTAACCTAATATGTCGAGTTCTAGGCATAGAAGCGTATGCAGTAAATATTCATGAATTTCAAATGCAAACGTAATTCGCTACTTCTCTCCGAAATAATGATATAAGAGGATTAACTCGTAATCCTCCGAACGAACTGTGATGCACGTATACTAAGAGTATATTTTGCGGTAGTGGATGGAAGATAATTATTGACTTACAAATTTGCTAACTGCATGCATTTCAAGATCACCAACTGATGCTTTCACGTAGCAAATTTTTCAAGGACCTTTTGTAGGGGTATTTCGATACAACTTGTTTCCGCACTATATTCTTTCTAACTCATATCTCTGTTTACTGTCTCTAATTTGCATTCCTTTTTATTTTGTTCTATTGCTTTGTGTTACATGGAGTGTAGGGACTTCAACTCCCGCACATAGGTGCAAAGTTCTATGTTGAAGCCAGTCACACCATATCCCTTATTACTTTTGATACGAAGTTAACGTTTCATAGCCAAAGCCCAGGTCTTCCACAAGTTGACCTTATAGAAATAGTCGAATACACGGAATGCTACGAAACATCATTCCAAATCAAATCACATCTGCCTTTTCGGACTTGGAGAAGGTAGATACAGTGTTCCACTTATTCTCTAGGTACAGTTTCTGTAAACCTATACTGTTAGATACGGTTATGGCTTTTTAGATTAGGGTTCAGGGTTAAAGTTGGGATTATGGTCGAAGAACATTGTTAGAAATATCAATAGATCTCAAAGTATTATGATCTATAGTCACCTGGATGAATGCATCCAATGCGCACGGCATGATTTCTGTGAAGATAACGTATGTAGTGACTTGAAGGCATTCTTACAACGTATAAGCAACCACTATGTAGTATATCATGTTTGCAGTTTTTTTTAGTACATTTAAACTCTGGTTGTTTAAGGTTACTGTAGTTTAGGCTATGCTAGTTTAACTTTGCCGGCAATCTGTAGTCAGTGTCTAATTTACGCAACCCATTAAAAAGTATAAAGGTTAAGCCTTTACCGGTAGTTGTCGAAATGTATCTGGTGTGTTAGCTATGTGAGCAGACTATTAACAATTATAGTTACACAAATCTGTCGAGCCGACCAAGCCCAGGTATATAAAAAGTATGTCGAGAGGGACTTCTCATACACTACTTTGCTGACAGCATGCCTTCCTTTTTGTAAACACTAACATCTGTAGAAAAAATGTTGAAACTTAATATATTTTACCAAGTCTGGTAAAAGACACAGGATGATCTTATTTTAATTTGTCATGATGAAACTGTTGAAGTTTTCATTTTAAACAAATACGTATTCATTCTTTGCTTTCACCAGGACTTGTCGACAGTGTAGTACATCGAAGGAAGACTAGTCCACCTAGGATATTTTGTTTCATCTGCGCAGTCGTAGTAAATGCTAAAAGCACATTTATATTCGTAGGCTTAAGGTTTTATGAGATTTGAAAAAATCTAGGAATGTAGTAAATTCTGAAAGTGATTCGTATTAATCTTTTACTTACTACACTTAAATTATTATTTAGTAATAGATTTTTTAAATGACATGGTCACTGGGGGGAAAACGTGCTTGACTTCCGACTTGAAGGATCCTGGAAACGGAATCATTTTTGTATACTACTAAAAACTCTCTACTGTCGGTACTTGACTTTCAATCGTTAAGCCCTTAAATTCTGCCTATTCTGTTGCAATTAAGTCAGTCAGATAGTATAATACATTATATGCCTCCACCTGTTTCATATAACATATTCGTTATCTCACTATGCACCTCTCATTCCAGTCTTACTATCTCCTGTTTAACTCAGACCACTTTGTACTAGCCACTCACCTAATACACTTTCATTCAACGAATGTAGCTCCTTCAATATATGTAAACACAAGTGGTTTTTAGATGGCGACCTTTTTGGTGCTATGGAGATATATCATCCTGGTTCAAAACACGTAGTTGTCTAAAATTTATATAACTGTGTGAGGAGAGCGTAATACATTAAAAATGTATTCGTCATATTCTATATTTACTTTTCGTGATATGTATCTTCATTGGTAATTTTACGTTTGAAGTTCCTACATTGTGATTGAAGTAATGCGATCATAAATCAGTATCTTTGTATTTAAATTGTTAATATTAGGTTTTTAAGTGGTATGAAGCATTTAATTTCAAAAGGTAAAGTACACACAAGGGGCATACACTATAAGTAAACTTATGTGCTAACATAGTGTAAAGTGTTATCGTAGGGAAGGCAATCATTTGATGTCTTGTCAAAACGTTTTCCCGCATCTAAAGTTCTTTTTCACCTTGCAAATTATATATTGTTTGAGTCACATTGTTTTCTTGTTTCTCCTACCTTTTAGATATTCTGTAGCTGGTAGACTGCCTTCTCAGTAGTGACTAAGTACTTTTTGATATCAGAAATATTTGGATATTTCGAAATGCGATATAAATCAAAGCAAGAACAATTCTGGATTGCTTGTAGTTTTGGCAGAGAAGAAGCTGCTAGAAAACTAATAGAAGTCGGTGTAGATGTTAACTGGAGATCTTATGTGGTATAATTAACTTTATGCGTATTATTTTTATTCTTAAAATACAGTACGAATGCTATCCTATACATGTATGTTCTCAAGGAAAGCCCAGTATATTAAAAATGATTATCCAAGCTGGAGCGAACATTAATGCACTCGATTCAGTATGTGTGCGTTTTGCATATTCGCCTAATGTAATAATAATGTTTCAGGGTGGCAACACCGCGTTGCATCATGCTGCTATGTCAGGCAATGAAGAAAATGTCAACATGCTTTTGTCTTCAGGTGTTGATGTTGACATAGCTAATAAAAATGGATGGACGGCATTATTTAATTCCGTGTATTGGAATCACCCACCTATCACTGAAATGTTGCTAGCTAGTGGTTCTAGTCCGTTTTTAAAGAATAAAGTGAGTTTACTTTTTAGTTATGTTTACGTGATGATAATTTTGATAAATAACTGCATGATGTTATTTTAGTTAGTCATCACCAGTAGTGGAATCCAGGATGTACATTTAGTTGTATTTGAGATCCGTCAACTAGATGTACCTCTCGTGGATAATGCTGTGGTATTTGAAAGGTGGGTGCAGAATTCTAGTCTCGGTGGTAACACCATCACTCAGAGGAAGATCTCCATATGGGACGAAATGCTCACCCTGGATTGCAATGGTAGTTAGTATCAACCAAAGATATCTGAAAGGGTGGATAATTTAATGAAGAGGATTAAAAATGCCTATAAGTTTATTTGTGCTAAATGTTTACACAATGATGAGTTTTGATTTAAATAATATTTTAGATTTGTGAGAATTTTTCATACTCACATTTATAGATGACAATAGTGTGCAGCGTTTTAGCCCATATTTGGTCCTTTTTAAAATAAATATCCAGCGCTATGTCCCGTGCTACTAGATGTGACTTTATTGGCTTTCATCCATGTGTCTCGATCTGGAATCCCGCTCCACCTACTTCAGTTCGGCCACCTGAGTAGTATCATCTCACAATAAATAAATAAATGTAGCTAACAGCCCGAAACAGAAAAGCCTGTTCCATGGCATTGTGTTTCAACAAATTCGTCCTATGATATTGACTGTTGTGCCTTTCTCATTGTTCCATGTATTGCGTGTGTCAATGGATATTCTGTCATCGATCTTTCTTCCCTCTTATACATATTGAACCTTTGTATGTAAGTATTACCTGCATCAGTGTTTTTCATCAGAAATAAGTCCCAGTTAAACTTTCTTCCGCGATTTTAATAGTCTTGTGCTCTTGTTGTTTGTCCTTCAACTAAACAATATTTCGTCGACTTAGTTAAAGACAAGGTCAGCATTAGGCTTTCTACATAAAACATTATTTTTCTACAACCTAATTATTAGATCTTTGAGTTTATTCCTAGTGAAAAATTGGTTTAAGCTTATTTTGAATTCCCACTTTATTGAGGTTTCCTTGAATTACCTTTGCTGTCTTTTGCGTGTATGAATATTACAGTACCTCTATAAATTATCTTTCTTATCACCTTCAGTTTGTGTTTTCCGTTTTATCTTTCCTTTTATATTTTGTTATATGACTGATTAAGTTCTTAACGTAGAATTTTGTATAGAAATACAGCAGCTGGAGTTACCACACAATATAGCACAAAAATGTGAAGAATTAAAATTGAAAGGAACTATAATGAACGAAAATGAACAGGAGAATGAATAATTGTATGGATCTGCATCACTGGTTTCCTTTGGTTGTCTGGTATGTTGTTATATAGAGTATTCTGCTCACAGGACCATGTATTAACACCTGTATTTTTGCAGTAATTGCTTAAGCTCAGTGAGGGTCTAGAAATCCTCCTCAGTGCCTTTGTTTTCTGTAAACAATTGGCTTCAAGCTATTGTATCCTATTATTTGAACTTAACACTTATATTGGCAGTTCTTAAAATTCATTCTCTATTTATATGGTGAACTTTAATGAGTTTGCATGTGTGAATGGATTTTCCCCATATCCTTCTTTATTATGAGTGCACAGGTAACTGTGATCTGTCTCATGGACCGTCATTCTTATAGCTTTTTGTTTTCAGTGTATATGTAGTTGTTGTACAGGTAATTTTGCATTCAAGTAGTCAGTACTTTAGTTAATGATCTCTTCACTAGTTTTAGTGTCTTTAAGTCATTCCACACTTCCAAATAAATCCACTAACCTTATTTACAAGGCATCTGGCTGTCTTCATAGTATGGTGAAGTAAAATCTTGATAACATGCATTTGCATATTTTTGGATTCTACAGTAGATCTTACCACACAAGGTCTCACTACACAATTTTAGCAACAATTATGAGAAATATTTAGGCTTACCAACTGTTTGCTTCACTTTTTCGTAGCCTTATTCGTAGTTTTGGTGTACCAAGCCCATCACATGCTCTGATGGTATTTTCGTGACTTTTGTTGTCAAATCTGCCAAGGGCGGTAGAATAGTGCACAACCTAATGGTTGTGTGCAAGGTTTGAAGAAGGCTATATGCTATATGCATGCGCCTCGTCCTAATAATGTTTATCAGCAGTTGTTTCAGACCTTGAATTTTATCGAATCAAGCCTGGGTATCACATATGTTTATTTTGTCATTATACTAATTACTTTCCTAAGGATCGCTGAGGAATTTACTTTGTTTCCCACAGCGATTACTGCAGATTTATCCGCTCGTAGTTCCGTAGGTGCGCTGTCAACTTCTTTATTACATTTAAATTTTTTATTCTTTGTTATTTTGACTTTAATGGTCATTGAATACAGACTGACTCTCTCTTTATTCGTCCATAATATCCTTCTGGTGTTGTTTTAGTCCTTATTATAAGTGTTGATTTGCTAAAAACACTTTTACCTTACATCTGATTATGTTCTGTATATGCCAGTTTACGCCGTCTCTGGCGTAGACGTGATATCCGACTATCGACCAAAGGGCGGGTGTACTGCTCATCAGTCCGCTCCGTCCTCCTTTATGGCTGTGAGACCTAGCCATTGAGAGTGGAAGACATGAAAAGATTAACTGTCTTTGATCATAGGTGCCTGCGCTCACGTGTTAAGTGGTGGTATAATAAGGTGAGCAATATTGAGGTTAGGCGTCGAGTTCTAGATAAGGAGGGAAAATCAATTGACGAGGCTGTGAAATTACATCGACTGAGATGGTTAGGACGTGTGTTACGTATGCCTAGTTATCGCCTTCCTCGACAGGCGATGTTAGCTGACATAGGGTCAGGTTGGAAAAGAGCTAGCGGCGGTCAAACCAAAACATAGCACCAGTCAATGAAATCTACAACAGTTGGTTTAAGCCACGTAGGAAGGTGCTGACTTTCTGGTTGGGGTCCTCGGGACGGTAAAAACCAATGGTTGGAAACAATTGGTGACATGGGTCAAAATTGTTCTCAATGGCGGGGATGCATCCGATCTTTGTGACTTATGATTTCAAGTGAAACTATATTGTTCTTCGTTACTACTATTCCTTTGTCTCAGACCTCTGTTTACTGTCCCTACTATGCATTTCTTCTACTTTCTTCTCTTGCTTTGTGTGCTACATGGAGGGAGTATGGGGACTTGAACTGGCGCACATCTGTGCTAAGTTCTATGTCGAAAACAGACAGATAGACAGGAAAAACGTTAGCAGTCCAATTTGTTGTTGAATATGTATCCTCTGTAGTTTCAGTGTTTATGAGTTTATTAAATTTTTGAGTTTGTTTCCAATTAGTCACCTCGTGGATGATTCCTTCTCCTGCTTGCTCAATTTCTTGTTGTATATATTTAATACTTTCCTTCCTGTAGTACTACCGCTTTCAGCATCTCTTTGGCTTCATATATTTCGTTCATAGTGAATAATATTTTAATAATTTCATGTAATTGTTTTTCATTGATTGTATATTTTTGATGCATAAGTAACGGGAACTACTTTAAAGTATTAGGGGAGATTTCTAGCTCAAGTGGGTGTTTGCCGATGTTGTCGTGTTCTTTGATAGTTGGATAGTTTAACTGTGAATTTTTCATTTTCCTCCTTGTGAACAACATCTTCAGGGCTGCAGCACGTTAAACTAAGCACTGAACACATTGTCACGTACTATAGTGTTTTTTTTTGTAGTTGAGTGATTACAATATGTGACAACTACAATCTTTGTTTTGTGAATTTCGATAAATAATACATAGAAAACAATACTTCTCATATGCTTTTCACTCAAAAATTAATTTATCTGCCTTTTATCTTTTTGTCTTTTATATTCTTTTGTATTTACAGAATGGTCGAATTCCGCTGCATGAATTGTGTCGAACGAAATCTAAAGATTCTATAAAAATACTGAAAAATCTTGACTTGCTACTTAATTCTATGAATAAATGTAAACAAAATGAATTATCTAATCAAGCGCCAATTGAACACACTACTACTGATCCCGATCAAAGTACACTAGACGAGAATGCAATCAACTTGAATAATATGAGTTTAAGAGCATACTCTCAAAATGATTTAGACTCAGAGGTAGGTAGACTGATGATTCTACGGTCAACAATAAGTGTTGTTATGATAACTGATGCTATTGATGCCTTGATTATTATTAAAATTCAAATTTGGGCACCAATTGATGCGTAACACAAAATTTGGTCGTCTATGTGAGGGCTCCAAAGCCTCAGGATGGTCGGGGGTGGGTGCCTTGCGCTGCGGGTTGGCCACCCCTCCGCACACCTCTTGAAATGCTCCCATATGACCGGGCGTCTTACATAGCCTCTCCTGAGGAAGTCCTACTCACTGCCTTCACGTGGCGGAGGTGTTTCTCACCAAAGTGAGAGGGCGAAAGCGGATGCCCGGCGCTCTCCACCGGGTTGACTGTCCATTGGATGACGGTCTAGGGGAGATGGCTAAACCCTGATTCCAAACCTCCAACGACTGGCGTATGAAGCTCACTGGGGCTCACCGGCAGACGTATGGACAAAGGGCTTGTTGGATGTCCTGGATGTCTGGCCCCATTCAAAAAGGCGTATGAACCGAACTCCGGTCACCGGCTGCCAATGGATAGTGGACTCCTTACTCCACTCCTACTGCCTTGTAGGTCACACTTGGCTGTGTAAAGGCTAGAGCTGCACTCTCAAACAAAAGGCCGAGCGATGCTGGGGACATCACTCGTACCAAATTCCCATGAAACTTCGTGAACTCTCTTACAAATTGCCGCGCCTGGGCAGCGATGATTCGAGACGTTCATGAAGCCGGCTCATCCTCCCGTAGGAGATAGCCGAAGTAAAGTAAAGTAAGTAAGTATGTGAGGGCTGGGATATTACCGGAATGTCGACACCGAAGCATGTGGTTACCTTAAGAGGCCACTCCTCACCGAGCCTTTGGCTTAAAGTCTGCTCACAAGACGGTGGAGTAGCGTCAGGAACTACGTCCTTGTGGTTGCCGATGACCGAAACAGATTCATACGCCATACGAACGCTTCGGACTCTGAAACCCTTAATTTTGGAGTCAGGATTTTTCAGCCCCCTAGGTAGTCCTGCATCAATCCTATTGTAAGTGTCAGACGTACGCACTTTTACTGAGGAATATCCCCGCCGCGTGAAGGCAGTAAATAGGGCTTGGCTGAACGAGGCTGTGAATGCATGGTTTTATGTGAGGATTTCGAGATTAAGATATAGGTCTATCCCTCCTTGGCCGTAGCAGGTCGTTTTTTGGGGGGGAGGGGGGCTAATACTTCGGTTATGAGACTGTCTGAGATATTTTCGGGTTTTCAGACTAGTTTGATGATGTATAACCTAGTGATGGGTAATTGTTGGTGATGACTTGGTTAACATTTTGGTCTCGTAGTCCGACTTACATAGCTCCGGATTATTATCATATTATTGTTATTATTACTATTGCTGTTGAAACACAATATCGGCACACAAAACATAATAAAACAACAATATATACGGGATATTATAAGTGAAAGACCATATCCAGTTAGCAAGTAAACATTCTTGTCAATACAATTCAAATGTTGGTTCATTGCTTCATATTACTTTCAGAAAGGGAAGAAAGGAGGAAACTGCAACATGTTTGTTATTAATTACGGCAGTTGGCCATATTTTACGAAGTCTCGAGACACTGACTGGAATTATCTCTCAGATCCTACCCACAGAGTTGTGATACACCAGTGGATGGTAACGTAACACATATGCTTAAATCCATGGCTAATGATCATCTCTTAACCTTTTCCATCCATTCTAAGGGCAGGTAAATATCTAGCGCTGTGAGGGCCTCTGGGATGACATTTGTAGTATAGGTGCAGGCAACCAGGCTGATAACACTTAGTGAAAGATGACCTCCACTGTATCCAAATACACGCTGCGGGACATCAAGTGCCACCAGATTCAAGTAATCCTACGGAGGTAGCAATGATCGATTACACATAGTCGCCATATATCTTCATCTCAACGAGGCTAGGTTTCACGGACGTTTAGCGAAAGTGAACACACCGAATCATCATTAACCCGACCTTCGAGATCCAGAGATAACCCTAATTGGTGTATGCCGCCTCTGCTTTCACTGTACGGTTAGAAGTCTCGTCCGTTACCCCCTCCAGCACTCACCATAACTATCTAGATGCACAAACTAATTGGGTCGCTAGGCTGATAATTTTGAGGCAAGTGGTTTAAAATCCTGCTGCAGTCCCGATTTTCTTTCCGTTTTCATTCAGCACCCAGTAGCATTGTTTTTGTCGTTAAATGACTGGCTGACTGAGTTTCAGTAGAAAGCTCTGCTTAGAAGTTGCCATAATCAACATAGCCCACAAACTCAGACAAATGAGAGAGAGAGAGAAAAGAGATTCAAAAGAAATTTAGTGGTTAGAAATCTGCTGGAGAAAGAATAATAACGTGAGCAAACATAATGATTTAATGGATATGGTAGATTACAATGAGGGAATGCAGTTGTACCAGTGGAAAGGGTTTTAAAGAAGTATCACGAACAGTATCTAGGCATTGGTTCTTAACACCTCTAAGACCTCAGCCTGGTAGTCTACAATTCTCTACGTAGATGGCTCAAAACAGTAGTCAAAGACTTCATGGATCGATATCGGGTTTTAGTTTGACCACACTTAGCTCTTTTCCAGCCTTGTGGATCTTATATCAGCTAATATTACTTGACATGAAAGTTGATGGCTTGGCATGTGTAACACACATATATCGTAGCCATCTCGATCAGTGTAACATCAAAACTTCATCAGCTGACTTCCCTTCCTTAATTTCAATATTAATGATCATATTATGCTATTGAACACTGGAGATGGAATGCAGACATTTGTGGTCAAAGACAACTAACGTTATTGTATCCTTCACTTTCAGTTGCCATCTCTCTTTTTTTTTCTCATTTTAGGCAGATTTTACTCCACTTTTGTTTGCTTGTTATCATGGACATCTAGAACTGGTTAAAACTCTATTAAATCGTGGTGTCGATGTGACTGTTACAGATAAGGTAATTCCACATTAAATAATTCTAGTCTTTCATGACACTTTTTGCCTATTTTAAATGTTCATTTGATCATGGTTATTGATATAAGAATACTTACTTGTCCACTGTGATAGAGTATAATTCCACTAATGGTTTTTACTACACCCTTATCTAACCACACAGTTTGATGTTCCTGAGCACGAAATATCAAGCAACAGTCAATATAACTCGCACCACAAGCACAGTTGAATTGGTAGATACATTAGAAGTGTCTAGTCTTGGTACTTCATCTTTCAGTTGGGGAATCTCCATTGGTCGTGTAGAAAATAAGATTTGTAGTTTCCCAGCACTTAAAGTTCTTTGAACTGTTTTTCTTAACTTCTTCATGATTATTTGGCTACGTATGTCACCCTTGAATGTAGTCGTATGTATAAAAGCTTCTTGTTTACGGATAGTGAATAGTCCTTTTCAATTTTCTTAGTGGCTAAGTAAGGGGGTAGTAAAAACCATTAACAGTTCGATATTAGACCATCTGGTCGAAACGGGCCACAAAACCGACATTTAAGAATCGTCCTGCATCATCTATCGGGTACCAAATAAATTGCCAAGAACAACCAGGTACCGCACACTTCAAAGCAGCAGAGACTATCGCGATTCGCCTTAAACAACCGGAACTCTGTGTGCAAAAGAAACAAGTCTAGATATTACTTCTGCCCTGGCCTTCAACCGAGACTATAAATTCATGTATTTGTATTATTATTATTTTTGCTAATTTGTCTGTCTGATATTCAGTGTATTGTTATGTTGATGCTATTGAACTGTAATCCATTCATGTTATTATTATTATTATTGATGCCATGTTACTTAAACAACATTAGTGTTGTTAATAACACTACTTTATTCACTATTATGTATGTGCAACTGTAGAACGTGATGATGAAGTTATCGAAAAGAATATTCTTTGTTTAAAAATCATTCTTTTGAAAGAAAGATTATGATTAAATATTGAGAATTTATCATAATCTCATTACTATCATAAGATCACTTAGGTGTGAGGGGATAATATCATGCAAGTAACTCAAATGTTACATGTAGAGTGTTAGACAAAGGAAGCAAGCTGTTCTACACAGTTTTGAGAACAGAAGGAGATGATGTATGCCATACTTATTCATCATTCTCTGCAAAATTTGTAATGTTTTCAACTTTAAGTCAAGACAACATTTTAGTCTCTAAGTATCGTTTTGAATAGCGTCAAGAAAAATAATCGATACAAATTGGAGTTATCAAGCATTGGTTTGACTGGTTACAGGATTGATCACAAGCTGAAATCAGTTAGAAAACCATTGGAAAACCATCCGATGGGGTCCACTAAGTCAGACAAGAGGACAGTTACCTCACCTGTGACACTGTTTGACGATGGTTGTGCGTCGGTGGCACAGCGGTTAGGACTCTCGCCAACCATGTACATGGTCCGGAGTTCGATCCTATGTCGACGCACAACTGATATCTATGGTTGGCCTGCAAAATTTGAGCTACCGATATCACATGCTGAAAATTCCATACCTCTACCAAAAATACGGTGTGGAATAAAGCTGTAATAAAAAATAATAGAAGTTAGGATTCACGAGTCATTGAATTCTGACCTAGTGACTAAATAGTCGATGAATTGGCCACGTAATCACAAGTTTCCGGGTTCTCTCCCTGATAGGATCATGTATGCGTACTCAAGAGTTCCAAACTAGGAAGAAACAGCTCTTCAGCACTACTCACCGGTTTCCAGTGATTCGCTAACTGTCATATTCATTCTTTACAAGATCTACATTGAAAATGGATTCAAGTCCCTGCAAAGCGTGTAACCTGAGTAATCAATCTTCATCTCATCGATGTCTATTGTATAGATGTTGTGAAGCTGTAATGAGAAATCTTGACTGACAGGGTTCTCCATGTTGGCGTGAAGTGGATGATAGAAAAACTCACCTGTCTGTTTATGATTAATTGTAGAAGCAAACAAACACGATAAATATTTAGAAATTATAAATACTACATCAGATAAGTTTATTTGAGACAGCACACAAACAACTGATACAGTATTGATAACCGGATGACGTTCCGAACACAATTTACTCATAATCATATCAGGGTATTCACACAAATTAACAACTTGTTTTATATGGTCCTACTGCCTCCCATTTTTTATTTTAGTTTTTTGTATATACGATATTAGAGTTGCATCATTCCGATTGAACGTGTTTGGTGTTGGTTGATTCAATGAAATGTGTTACTTTTTAATACTTTCACCTTGTGATTACATGCAAGTGAATGCATCTCTATGGTTGGATTTTATTTTAGGTTATGTGACTTGATGCGGTCATTCATTTTACCTCTAGGTGAATTTCTGTCCTGATAGTCTAATTCACCCTGATCTACTAGTTTGACCTGTGTAATTGACCTCCCAGTCATTATATGGTATTTGGTAAATTATATTATTTCTCTTAATTGAATATATATTGGGTCCTTAAGCCTACACAATTCATCTTTGTGAGAGTTGGTTGGCTTAAGTGCTGCCCTAATTCCAGCCTCATTGAGAATTCTACGTAAGTCCTCTGACTTCCCTTCATTATAATACGGCAGTACTAGAGAGGCTTTGTATTCTATATTGTTTTCGTTATTTCTTTTACTAATAGTTTTTCTATGGCTCCTTTTTAATAAGTTCTAGTGGGTAGTTATTCTCCAGTAATATTTTCTCTATGTTTAATTTCATTATGCAAATCTTCTGACTTATCTTTATCAATTCTGGATGAGATGAATTAATGTCTAATTAATTATTAGAATGTCATAGTTTCCTATAAATGCCAGTGTCCATTTTATTTTTGCAGTCTAGCATAGCTAACTCACTTTGTCCATTTTTTTCTAGCTCAAAAGTTAATTAGGTTACACATCTACTTCTGAATGTATATATGTGCACATTTCAACACACTGAACACATCGTCCATTTATCTTTACCCACAACCCCGGAGTAGGACTAAACATTCCAAATGCTTTGCATTTCCAACTAACCATAAATATTATGTCTGCCAGTACTAGCTAGGGATATTAGTGATCCCATTGCTACCTAATTTGTTTGTTTGTTTGTATATTTCATTTTGAAATTTGAATACAATGGAGACTAAACATAATAGTATACATAATATCTATGTATTCAACCGAGACCATAGTTCTATTTTTGGGTTCAGATTCAATGCTCTAGTTCATTCCTAACTGCTTCTATAGATGCATTAATTTGGATATTAGTTGACAAACTTGTTATATCAAAAGTAACCATTTTTTATATTCCATTGTATGAGAATTTCCACTAGCTTTCATTTCATTACACATGAATTAGTTAGTGTAGATGCGGATCAATCTCTAATAGTACATAATATTGATGCTAAATATTTAGATAATGGATATGCTGGGTGGGTGGGGAAGGGAAGTGTGTTCCCAAAGTCAACTGTTGGTTAGCGTAATTGGGTAACCTGCCGTATGAATTTTAATAGTACTATATATTCCACTAGGATAATGAATTTTATAGGTATTAACTTAAGCCGTATTATGCTGGAAAATGGGCATCGTAATTCAGTTTGTCGTCATGCGCCGTTAAACAGCCATATATATATATATATATATATATACTCCATATGATTTTCTCTTCGTTTTAAGTCTGTCTACAACTATTGATATGATTATTCTTTTTTATTTAAAACCCGTTCTCTCTTATCTTAGCTGTCATTCTGACAAATTGATAGTGTGAACTAAACTGTGTATATAATATCTGAAGTCTGATCGTTGATTTTGTTTAAATATTTTTGACATTGTGTTATATCTCTCTGTCTATCGACCCGCATTGTCCGTCATTTCAGTTTTAAACATCAAAACTAATTGAAATCAACTAATATGAGCGTACATATCTAGAGATAATTGTCTGTTTTGGATTTCTGTATGTTGTTGACAATCTGTGCCATTTTCTCGACGCTGTCGGGATATCTGGCTATCCACATAAAGTGTATGTGTGTGTAAGCTGCTACACGGAAGTTCGTTCTCTCCTACTTTACAGGTTTAAGGCATGGCCAGTGAAAATAAAAGATGTCAAAAAGATTAAAGTTTTTCATCATATGTGTTTCTGCGTTCACTTAATCGTGTTAGCTGGCATAGCTATTGGAACTAGAGTTCGTATTTCCCACGTGACTTATAAACTAGACATTTTAAGCTTAACGTTGGCATTGTTGGATGTTTATCGGCATATGACATCCAGTCAAAAGAGCTTTTTATTATCTAAAACTAGCTATTAGTTGATTATGGGAAATAACTATTTACAGAGTTGTAATTTCCTAGTAATATTACCTTACAGTCTTCTGTGTTTTTCTCAGTATGGAAATAGCATTCCTGTGATGAGTTGTATATTGTTGTGTGTTGAAGTAACAATAAGAACGAACTCAAATCCATTGTTATTCTTCATGCAAAGCATCAGGGTTAGGTGAGGAAGGTAAGTTGATGATCGACGAATTTAGAAAATAATTAATTCAGATGGCCTGAACATGTGTTATGCTCGCTCAGTTACCGCCTTCCTCGACTAGCTAGTAGTAATAACTGGAGTTAAATTCGGTTGGAAAAGCGTTAGACGTGGTCAGACCAGACCAAAGCTTTTCATCAACCTACGAAATCACTATTCATTGGTCTAAGTCAGGTGATTAGGTAGAGATTGTGTCTGTCTGACTGGTATCTTCAAGAAGCTGACAGAATTCTAGTCTAATTCATGCATCTATATAAAATTGTTATAATGTATAACATAAGGATAAAATTGGGACTGATTATGGCAGATTATGTAATTTCATATTTTGGTAAGTTTGTTTAATACATTATCAGTAACTATATAATGTTTTGTTTGACCGAAATTAATGGCTCATAATCCATATCACTGTGTTCACACGACTTGTTTTATATAGTCCTACTCCCTGCATAATTTCATATATCCACCATAGGCATTGCGTCATCTTTATTGCACATCGTGAAGATATGGTATGGTTGTTAGGATAAGGGGAGGGGACGTATTATGCGTTAATATTTCCCACATTGTAATCTTCAAACCAGACATTTAACCTTAATGTAAATTAAAGGTCACACTTTCTTTTTTTATTATTACCTAATTGGGTCTAATTAGGGAAAATTATATAATTTACCAATTACCATGTGATGACTGTGACGTCAGTTATATGCATAGATGCAACTAGTACATTGCGATCACGTAGATTATGAAAACAGGAATTTAGCTAAAACATGCGTGAGTGATCCTGATGTATTAAACAATCTGCAAACAAAAAGAAGCCGTGGCCATTGTTTAATAATAATAATAATAATAATAATTTGCTCTATTCCAAAACATTACTTGTGGTACAGAATGGAATTCTCGGCATTTCGCTACAATATTGCATCCACTTAGTACATTATCAATAAATAAAATTCTCTATATAGATTAAGGTAATCTCAGCTCATTGTGACAACAACATATTGGCATGTTGGTAGCAAAGCTAAAATTGAACAGAGTGTTTGAAGGTGCTAGAAAAGTAGATGCTAGCATATTTACTGGCGTAAGCGGTAACAAAAGGTCGAAATATACAGAGTGTGAAAGAAAGAGGAAGAATTTTTAAGTAGAGTTTGTCAGGAAGAGAGAAACAAAGCAGCACATAAAAAAAACAAAAAAAAAAGGAAAAGGAAGAAAGAAAAACGTTGTACCTATAAATGATAGGAGTTGGAAAGACGAGATCCAGTTGTTCTACTGACTATTTAATAAGTTAAAGGTATCACGCCTAATGCTTTCTTTACCACACAGAACCCGAGCTAAGTAGGGTATGATTGAGTTTTTGTACTTACTAGTGCGAGCATATAGTTTTCTAAATAGGCTTTTGGTCTGCCTGCCTGATGAGATGCAAGGGGAGAGTTGTGAATGAAGAGGGTGTTGTGAGTTAGATAAAATGGATTTGGCCCATTTTTCACATGAGTCCAAGTGCCTGTTAACCAGAATATTAATAAGCTGGTTAAGTGGCACGTCGCTTACCCTGCTGACAACCTTTAACATCCTGCGTAATAAGGTATAGTCTTTCTTCAGTAGCCCAGGAAAAACTAAGGGGGAACAATAGAGAATAGTAGGCAGGATGCAAGAGTTAAGGTATTGTGGGAGTAAGGGTTGGGTTATTCCAGAATGTCTTAACTTCTTGATGTAGAAGGTAAGACGGAATATTTTCTTAGAAATCATCAAGATATGAGACAACCAGGAAATATCAGCAGATAGAATGACGTCTAGGCATTTAATTTCCGGCTTGGTTTTTATTTTAGTGCCATCTATGTTGCACACCTCGTGAGTGCTAACCAGTTTGTTTAAGTCAGATTTGTGCCTAAAGGTGAAATTGACTGTTTGGCATTTGGAGAGGTTTAAGGTAAAACCGTTTTCCTTGGACCACTGGCTGATTTCTGATAAAAAGCCATTTAGTTTGGAGCAGTCACTTTGGCATTTGACAAGCAAAGATACAGTTAGGTCATCAGCATATTTGACAAAATTAATTGTTATACATTCACTCACATGTAATCACATAATAAGGTGGAATATGGTAAAAAAATTAAAAAGTAATATATATATATATATATAGGGAGAGGGAGAGGTTAATCACCGAATGTCTTCGTCCATGGAATCAACACCAATTACATGCGGATGTATAAAAAATTGCAATGCAAAACAGGAGTGGTGAGTAGGGCTATATAAATCTTATATTATCATGTCGTGTGAATACATTGGTGATTTGATTATGAGCAGTAGTCTCTGCTTGAAACGCCATTCAGTTATTAATACACTGTATCACTCGCTATATGTTAATATCAAATCAACTTTTTAAAAATACAGAATTACATAATACTACATGTTTTGTAAATAGCAATATTTTCAAAAGAAGATGGAAATTTTGATGTACATTTCGTCAAGAACCGACAATTGTTACGAAATCATTGAAAACCAGTGAACAGTTTAGCTTAATGACTCTGAGTAATTCGCATCGACAACCTCACAACGAATCAGATTTAAGGACTTCAAGTCGAGAAGTTACCCCGTTGACCGACCATTTAGTTGAAATGTCCCTATGTTAAATGCTCCTACGTTTCCAGTGATCCTCTAATTGATGTCGCTACGTGAACCAGTACACATTGGTAACAAGTAATGAAGTGATATCAGAAAAATGAGAAACAGACTGCTATGAACTTTGATGAGCCCTCCCTCCTCCCATTAACTACAAATCATATTATTCGCAATTTGCAAATCAAGCAGATCACATATTGTGATCTCAACAATTTCGGTTCACGACGGAAACTGTGGTGAAACTGTACTTCGAATTGTATTTATTAGGAATTCAGCTTTGAGTATTGCCCATTAACCCACATAGCTAGCCAGAATTTGTATGGTTTGAAATGATTCGGTTGTCTAATTTGAATCAAACCGGGTTCACTCATGATGAGGTCGGCCCAAAACGTGTGAAGTTGCCGCCCACAGATGTTTAGATTATTTGGATCTGGCAGGCTAGCAAGCAATTCTATGGGTGATATGAGTGGTGTCCCACTACTAATATCGACCAATCAGTGGTGGTATACAGCATCATAAACTATATTATTCTCAAACGAGATGAATCAAGCATCCGATTAATCTCTGGCTGCTCAGCACTGTAAATTATATGTGTTCAATTCTCACAAGGGACATGAGTTCTTTCGTGGTTGCAAATACGCCTTCCTGACGAGTACCAACAAGCACAAAATGTATGTCGAGAGCTTCCTACCGATTGTCTCAAACTATCTAACTTATAACTAACCTACATACTTTTTTGTTCTCTACTGGCCGAGACATCCCTTTGATATTTCGAATAAACATCACAATTCATGTTGAATTTAGTGTATGTGATGTAACACATCTTGAACATAATGGATGGAATACATTTGTTCTCTTACTACTCATTTTCTTTGTCACCATATAGTATAATGTTAACTAATATTGTTTATTAAGTAATACTTCGAAATCCTTTAATAAAGTCAGCTCATATAACTCAAATTCATGTTCATATTTCTGTACGTTTCAGTTTATCATAAACTGACTAACATCAGTTAGAGAACCATTGAAAACGACCATAGAATGCTAGGCAGCTGTTATTTCCCAGTTTGGGACTCTTTTCCAGTATGAAAACATGTACTCATTGCCAGAGGTTGAACTTAGGATCTTCAGGCTACAAGGCGAGCTTTTTGACTGTTCAGTCAGAAAGTCTTGCGTTCAACCCCTGGTAGTGAGTGCTCAGCGTTGAAGAGTGCTAAAGAGAGATGAAATAGCTGTTTAGTTCTCACTGAAGTCAGCTATTGATTGAATTTAGGAAAGAATAAACTTTGCACACTTATTGTATTTTATCAGAATCATTGGACTGCTTTACACTGGGCTGCACAACGTTGTCATGCCGATATTGTTGAAGTATTGCTGGATTATGGAGCATCGATTCACGCAAAAGATTCAGTAAGTGTATAAATTCTGATAACTTGTACTATGTTTTACGCTTTGGCTAAAATTTGATTATTTGGAATACATTTGCGTGAGTGATAGCACTATCACACCTGGCCATACAATCCAATACTTGACAGTGAAATGGTAAATTAAAACTGTTCGAATTACTCATCGATACATTCCACGTCTACCTGTGTATTTCCCCTTTAAAATACTGTCGATTTATGAGTAAACTCAAAATGACTTACTTGAGTACACTCAAAAGTGCACATTTTGAGCTGTATGTATAGTATTTACTTGAAGCGCGTCAAGTTCATGGCTCTTGTCGAACACTTATGGCCACCGGTGGTGAGTCGTGTAAATTGGAATCCTTTGATTCATAGATTGGTGTTTTTGTTTAATTCTTTCAAGTCTATCATCACAGTTATTTATTTTATTCCCGGGATTGATCAGTACTTTTAAGTTATCTAAGTTGTGAGATAACGTAACTTGATTAAACATACCTAATAATGAGCATATATATATATATATATATATATATATATATATATATATATATATATATATATGAATTACGATAAACAATAATGATCAGTTTTGTGTTTTTTTTAAGTTTGACAGTGAATGGAAATACTTAAGTGCTATAATAATAATTGGTGTATAGGATTAGATTGATTAGATATATGAATGAATAACTAAATAAATTAAATAGGGGTCAACCTAAAGTTCAATAGACAGTTGTGAAATAGACAAATCGAAAAATAAAGTACATTCGCAAATGGAACATTCCCATGATGGAGATATTATTATTATATCCTTTAATTCCTAGAGGAACACAGGGCTTCAGCTACGCGTCTCCATTGCCTTCGGTTTTCTGCCAACTTTTTCACCCCGCTCCAAGTCTGCTCACATGTTTTCATCTCCTCTTCACATGACCTCCTCCAACTGCTTTCACATATCCCCAGTACTTGAATTCCGTATCGTTTCATTTCGTTTGCGATCTGGGCAGCTTTGCAAATCTCTTACATAGTGCCAACATTCCACGTCCCCACACAGACTTTTTCTTTTGGCACAAGGAGACTCATCGTGCTGAAGTTTCTGTAGCAACTTTGTTTACAGGGTGGGGTTGCTAATCTGACGCCTGAGAAAGGAATTGTTACATTAAGATAAAGTTTAGAGAGAAATGACCTTGTGGGTTGCTCCCCTTAAAATCGGATAACAAGGAATACAAGGAATGAAACAGTCAGAACAACACCAGCAAAAGGAAAACAATTCACAGCAAAAAGGGCAAAAAGCGACACCAACAATAAAATACAACAACATACAACACAGTTAAGCACAGTTAACTAAACTGATACCAAAACCATAGACTCACTGCCTTGGGCCAACTTGGACATATAAATCCAACAATATATACAATTACAGATATGAGTTAGTGTTAAAAAGTCACAAAATGCCAAACAGTTAGTTATAGGTATTAGTAGTCAACAAGATTACATCCACAGGTTTAGTGTTCGAAAGTAAACGGATTGCAATAATTTCCAAAACTTCGTGGTAAAAAACCCAGCGAAATGAGAGTTTTATGTAACTAAGCAATTGTAGCGCACCAATCGAAAAGCCCGGAAATTTCATAATTCCTGATGGAGATATAGGAGGAGTGAAATGTTGTCAAAATAGTAGACTAGATAAAATGCTAAAATATGATAACAAAACATGAAAGAAGGATTATAATACTTTGATATAGCTATTAGCATTAAATAGCGAAACGTCAGTAAAAACAATATTGTTTTGTTTTTCATTCATTGGGAAATACAAAAAACCTTTATTATAATGAAAGAAGGATAACAAAGTTTTTATGTGAAATACATAGTAAAATTAAGACCATGCTAACTAAGGAGATCATATAAATTGTTTTTGTACACAAAGTTTTGGCTTAATCTTATGTCTCCAAATGGGACATTCGCAAATGTTGGAAGGAAATTGGACATTTAGAGGAAGTACCTCGAATTATGAGCTCTTTCAGGTATGATGTGGGCATTCCTACGTTTACATTATGTAAATCTATGCAATTACAAGTGAAGCATACAGTCTCATTTAATGGAACATTGGTAAACGAGTGAGCATACATCAAGTGTCAACATAGTTTTCCCAGTAAAATTAATATCATTAACTCATTTAACAAATTCAAAAGTGTCATACAAAGAATAAATACAAACTTGCCTTCTCAGTGGTTCCAAGAGTTTTCCTATCCATTTTGCATCAAAGTGATACGGCGAATCTACCGTGTCTAAAATACGATGCATCATTAATCCAGATTTATGGATTTTTCGGCAGGCCATAGTGTCGAGGAATGATCGATCCAGATCTTAGCCTTTCATAAACCTCGTTTGTCACTAATGAATCATTATTCATTCGTTTCAGAACCTGTGTGATTTGTACCTCTATCATTTCTGGCTTGTTCTTCTCACGTTCATGGTTCGGAAATTTTGTCTTGTCTGACAGATTGCTTTGCATTTTGTCAGTATAATCTTTCTAATCCATTATTACAATATCTGTACCTTTATCTGTCATGTTAGTAGGATATTCTCATTTTTCTTCAACTCCTTTAATTGAATGAAATGTCCTTGCTGAGATGCTGGTGCAATTTCAGTTTTGATTTCATGGAATGATGAGTTAAATTTAGCACTGATTATTTGAAGTTATTTACGTCTTCTAGTGGATTTGCCTTCAGGTTCTTTGCCGCCATCAAATTAAATTCACATATTCACATTCGCGAATGTACTTTATTTTCCGATTATCTATTTCACAACTGTCTATTGAACTTTAGGTTCACCTGTATTTAATTTATTTAGTTATTCATTCAGATATCTAATCAATTGTGACTCATAATCCTATACAACAATTATTATTGTAGCACTTTAGTATTTCCATTCACTGTCAAACTTTAAAAACACACACAAGAAAACTGATTGTTACTGTCTATTGTATATATATTTATTGTGTGTGTGTGTGTGCGAATTGCATACTAACCCAAATCAGTTAGACAATCATTGAAAACGAAGAAGCATTAGACAGTAGTCTTGGTCTAGTTTGGAAAGCTTTGGCAGTACACACCCGTTGCCCCAGTAGGAGTTTCTATATCGCTAATCGACAGAAGTTAGAATTCATGCAACATTGAATTCAAACCCCGGTGGTTGAATGGTCCTTTAGTTATACTGGTAGTACTATAGATGTTCACTCATGAAAAGTCCAAAAGTAGGCCGAAACAACTGTTTAAATTAATGGGAAACTTGAATATTTAATGCGTGTTGTAAACACAGCTACACCACTAAATTGTCTTAATTTCAGTGATTAGTTTATTAAATTATTCTGTTATTGGCACTTGTTAACTAAAGCTAAATAAACGTATTTTTATATTGTGTGTATTCTCTATTTGTGAAGTATTCCTTTTTTTGCAATGTGTCTGATAAGGGAAAGCCTCCTGTGTGCTATTGATTGAACAATAACTGTGTTGGTGAATTTGTTCAAATGTGTGTGTATGCGTGTGCTTTCGGTTTTCTTTTTCATGTGATCTTGTGTATATTTATTTATTGGTGGTATTTAGTATTGTGCGAACTGTGCACTTTATTTTTTGTTTACATTGTTATTATTATTGTTTATTGCAGTTATACCATAACTCTTGGCTAGCAAAAATCTTTTTGTTTCCTTAACTAAAAAACGAAGGATATAAAAAGGATTTGCTGAATCTCTTTGTTTATTTAATCGCTTTTATTTTTCAGAAAACAAATATCTGTAGTATTATAGCACTCTAAATTGTGTAAATACAATATTTGCTAAGGTTATGGCTTTTATGGCTCCTCATTTATTACTTTCAATGGCTTATAATACACAAAACACATCAACTATCCTGGATAGACTAAAAGGTGCTCTGAATGCAAAACTCCTTTTGGAACTAACTGGATTCAGCAAAAAATGACATCATGTGGGAGGAAGTGAATTGCAAGGCTGCGCATTATCATCATTAGTGAGCAAAGCATAGAATGCCACTGAACTCTCTACTCCAACATCATGGACTTGTAAAAGTTTATCGATAGCGCATCGACTGTGAAGTAGTTTGGAAACTGTTTCAACAACACGGAGTGCATTTACCTCGAACGTTTATAAATCTCATGCAACAGCTGTATGATAATGGATGCCACATGCCAAGTGATTCCCAACGAAAAGCTCTGTGAAGTCTTTAAGGAGAAGACAGGAGTAAGACAAGGCTGTCTACTATCACTGATGATATTCCTAATTGTGGTGAATTGGATCGTGTCTCAGACCGTGAGGATACAGAAGAAAGGAATAGGTTGGACTGACAAGAAGACTGTACACTATCTGAAATTCGGGGATGATTTGCGTTTAGTGTCGCACAAACTCAAAGGTCAACAGATGACATTCAACAAGTTGGCAGAAGAAGCAACTGAAACAATACTTCAAGTGAACATAGAGAAGGTGGAAGTGATGAAGACGCCTAACCAACAAAATACCAACAAACACGAATCACCATCAACGACAGTAGTTTGAAGGAAGTCATCTGTTTCACTTACCTAGGCAGTAGCGCTTCAACTGCAGGCGACACGAATAAGGATGTCAATGCCAGGATCACAAAAACAGTACAGACCTTTGTTACTATGTGGACATCTACAATACTCAGTATAAAGAACAAGATCCAGATTTTCAACACTAATGTCAAGTCAATCAGTGCTTCTATATATTTCGGCGAATTGACACAACACGAAAAGGATTCCCAGCAGACTACTTCAGACTTTCATCAGCAGCTGTCTTCGCTCGATACCAAAAAAAACAGATCACTAGCTGAAAAGTTGAGGAATAAGGAACTCTGATCACGAACCAACCAAGAACTCATTGTCCAAGAAATGTACAGGGAGGAATCTCGGTGGATCGACCATACACTGAGAGACCGTTGGGTGACATCACGCACCATGCCCTCGAGTGGAAGTTGAACGAGGAACAACGAGTTGGACGTTTCTCCCAGGATAACATGGAAGATGTCATGTGAGGTGGTAGTGAAAGGTTGTGGGGGCATTCGTGGAAGCAGCTTAAAGGGATTGTAGAGAATATTTGTACTTCTACCCACAACTGTCATTTGAAGCACCAAAGCATTACGCATGAGGGCCATGAGAGCAGTATTACTCAATGAGACTGTAGGTGCATCTAAATAAAGGGTCCCAAACAGGACGAAATGTATATTTTAGATTTCACTGCTAGTCACCAACAATTAAAGTAGCTTTTGTGCAGTTTAACTTTTTACTCTTCAAGACCATTTCGTGGGAAAAAATATCTGAATTTGTTTTCCCTTTTTTTCCTTTCAGTCTGGTTGTATGCCATATGCAGTAACTAATGATATCGGCTTACAAGAATGCTTATCACCGATTATAATAGAATATCCAAATATTATATCAAATGGACATGTAACAACTGATGATGAGGATGACAGCAGCAACGATGCTGAGTCTTCACACTTCATGACAAATTCAACACATCAGATGAAATCTAGTCAGCACTTACAAAATAATCATCATGAGTCTTTAATAACTAAACAGCTAGATCTCTTGAAATTATCGTTAATTGATAATCAAATTGAACAGTTGACTACAGCTGAAACAGCCTCACCGGAAATTTATATCGGTACAACATGAAAGACGGAAAGGAGGAAGGCAGAAATACTTGAGGAGAGCTGATTACCGATTACCGAGTTTCACTTCACTGTGTTTTTATTTTTTATGTATTCGACATAATTTCTGTTGTACTTTTTCCCCTAGTCGTCTTATATTCCCTTGACATTTCACATTTTCGAGGGTTCTTTTTTATTCTGTCTTTTTTACTGTATATAATACTGTATTATAGCAGTAGTACTAGTGAGAGCAACTTCAGTCCATTTTTATATATTTTCTGTGGTGTCTGTGATTTAACTGCTGCCCAGCTACTGCTCCTCCTCTTACAATATTTAATATTGTACACACTTTGTTTTCAGATTAGCTCATCTTAAAATTTGAGCGTCAAACAACTCTAGTTTGTTTGTTTTATAGAATTCAACTGTTACATGACATGATATCTGTCCTTACTGATACATACACTAGTATATGAATTGAAGTAGTTCATTAGGAAAATCCCATGAATCTTGTAACGGTTTATTCATACGAATGTATCACTCGTTAATGTTTGCTAGTGGGAGGCGGATTTGGGCACTCATCATCATCATCATCGCTACCTTTGCCTCTGGAACGATATTCAATTATACCGCCTTTAATGATTCACAACGTTACCTCACTTACGCATTTTTCAGTAGGATATTGTAGTTCTGTGGATATCCCCCTTTCGATAGTAAATATAATTTCACTTATTTGATAAAGTTATTCCTCACGGTTGTTTGATTTTGTCAACCAGAATTTGTATTCACCGCTAGTTATCTTAACCAAATTACATAGAAATCTTAATGATAACAGGGGTTGGGTGTGTGTGTGGGGGGGAGGCAAAGATACTCTAGGGAAAATGATTCGATTTTATTACAAGATCCTCCACCCCCGCCGCCGCCTACTTAACATGAACCATCGTCTCATATGTGTTCATCTTGCTTCTAGAGATAAGTGTGTTGTAATCGTTATTTCGCTTTTTAAGCGAGCTTGATTATGTTAAATGAAGTGTTTGTAAACTGAGACAGCCACAATGGTGGATGGAGAAGTCAGATGGCTTTCCCTCCCAAGTCTATCTGTGTGTGCATGTGTCTTTCAACTTATGTATAAGTTCGGATTATAGAAACATTGGGAATAAAACTGGCTTTCATTTGCATTTTTAAATATTTTGAAATCCGAAATCGAACAATTTTAAAAGGAATTAATAAACAATAATCGCAACAACTGTTTAATTTATTTATCGCTGGATTTATTTTTCTAAACTTTACCTGTTACTACTTATAAATAGTGTTGGTCATTGACTCGTCATTTTTTACCTAATTATTCAAATGCCTTTACAGTTAATCACACACTGACCTGCTCATTTATCCTGTGGATGTATTGTCATTGTAAGCTATTTGCTCCACATGTGCTATGTGTATAATAACTTCATGGATCCTTGTTCCTATTTTCATATACCGTACACCTATTAATATATACACATAACTGTCCTCTGATTTCTGACACATTCAATCCTGTACGGCTTTTTACTGCTCTGTTCTCATTCTGTTTTCTGTGCCTTTTTCAATTTGATATATATGTAATAAATTCAATTAGTGGAATATTCTTGATTCCTTTTAAAATATATATATCAAACTAAATGTATAGTGAGTACTTCAGTGTATAGTGGTTCAATGGAAGAGTGCTCGCAAACCATGCTCCACCACCTGGTCTGAGTTCAATTCCCGACGGTTGGACTTCTAAACCTCGTTCGGCCGGTAATAATCCTGTTAAACAGGGAGTGGTTGAGCGTTAAACTAGCAACTGAACTCCATGGAAAATGAAACAACACTTTCGCTAGTGGAAATTCATATCTACCGTGAATGTAAAACACTGATAATAGATACATTTTGACTTCATTATGCATACTTAATTGTTCTCTGAGGTTGTAAGTCAATCGTCTAGCCATTCATCTTCCAATTACTGGAACAATGGTTCGAATCGTACTCCACCTACTGTAACTTACTGCCAATTACGCAAAAATGCAAATGGTTGTTAAGTGAGCTCGACATCTCGAACCAGGCAAGTTGCAGACTCTTAGAGAAGCTTAAAATGAAATGTCAGTCTATCAAGTCACCGTATTTTGGTTTCAGATATGTGAGGCAGTCTCTGCTTCAGCACTCGACATTTCGGGTCGTTCCGTCAGTCAGGTATAAACCCAGCGCTGTATGCCGTCTGGACTCTGCACATTCGCTGTTGACTATGACTGTTTCAAAGAATTCATTTGACCGAATGTATACAGTGAAATAACCTGGCGTTTTAACACAGTACTTATAAAGTCTATCTTCCTTGCCAGGTATTTCTGTTTCAGGGCACTAGGCAAAGTTAAACTTTAAGCACCAAAATGAATCAATAGACAAATGATCCTGAACGTGCCAATCACATAAAAAGGCAATTTTTGCGTATGAAATGCATATATCTATGAAAATAGTGAATAAAAAGGCGTCAAATTGTTACACAGGATATCCTACTGTTGCGTCACAAAGATGTCTCAGTTTTGCATTGGAGCGTTATTGGGTAATTAAAAGACATTCAACACATGTATTCATATGGGTCTTAGACTAACTCTAACGCGAGATCATCTCCTAATCTAACTCTAGCCAACCTTAATTTCTCCCTAATTAGTTAAAGCTAACTTTTCTCTAACCTAACATTAATCTTTAACAAATCTAACTTAAAACTACCTGATATCCTGTTTAATATCATTATATTTCATTGAGTATATTTTATTCATGATTACAGTATATTTTACCTGGTTTCACGAACTGGTTAACTCAGCGTTGCAAGGTCATCAGTGCGGTGACTTTATTTTGGTACTTCTTGGTGCTTAAAGTTTAACTCCAATGGGAACTGTCCCACGTATTTATTGTTCCGTCATTTTGATAATGAATTTCAACACATCTTACAATTTACACCTGTGCTTTCTGTACTGTCATAATTCAAATATACATTCAGATTATTCTTTGAACCATTAGCTCTAGATTGCTTCTTTCGATTTGTCTGATCTCCATTGATTTTGTATCTATGTATTTTACTTCAGTTATGATAGTGTATGTTAATTCAATAAAGCTAATGTCTACACTTTTACTTTATCGTATTCAATATATTTCTTTTTTACTAGTAATAGTGGAAGACATTTCCTGAAATAAGTGAGTTCAAGGCATTCTTCCGGCGGTGGCATGCATAGAAATTAGAATTCACAGTCTGGGTCTCAGATTTTGTCTCTGTAGTTGGATAGTCAACAAACCCTCCCTATTACCCCGATGGGGTTATGAGTGCGCACTCCTGAAGAGTCTCAAGGTGGAACAAAACAACTGTCTAGTACTTTTTGGTAGTTTTCAGTGATTCTCTACCTAGTGTCATTTTGTAACTTAACTGGAAATAAATTAAATTTAACTTAAAATTGCTTCCCATTTTATATTCAGAACAGTTTCTTACACGTTTGAGTTAACTTAGAGGATTGCGGGCATAATTAAGTGTGAATTTGAGTCTGGGCAGTATCATTAGCGGTCGCACAATAAATGTGCCTTATGGGCCGATAAATGAATAGTCTGTCTACGTGTGACCAGGTTCAAAATATCTATCTCTGTGCTACACATTATCTTTGAATGACTGCTGATGGCTTACACTGTATACTTTCAACACAACCAATGCTGAGTGAAGTCCAGTTGTTTCAACATTCTGATTACACATACACGCTTCCTACATTTATTTATTCTAACAAGCTAGACTAACCGATCTATATATTAGATCTCTGCGCGTGTAGCTGACCATTATGCTTTTCGAACGCTGAACAATTTTCTGGTGTCTGTATGCGTAGTAATGGGAGTTACATTAGCGCCGTTGTTCATTGCTTAATTATATGGACAAAGATACACTTAAGTGATATTTAACAATAAATACATGACTCATCAAGATTGAATACTCAATCAGAATGCTTCGCAAAAACATGTCCTGTATGCCTGCGCTTGAACTAATTGTGTTAAATGGTGTCTAGATATTTTGTAGTAGACGTATACTGCTTCAAATTGAGTGTCGCTGCATAAAGAATATCTCCCATTATAAACGAATGCAGAGGACATATTTCCATGTCTATGATATAACCTGTGAATCCCATTTACTTTTATTATTACTACTGTTCAACGTAGTGTCCCGAGTTGTACATAGAGCTTCAGTAGCATGTCTTCATGGCGTGTGATGTCACTTAATCTTCTCAACCTAAACCCAATCCATCACCATTTACTTTGGCATATTTTTTTGTCTACATGTTCTTATTTAGTTCGCTGCCTGCTACATCTCGTTGTGTCTCATCTTTTTCAACCGACCATTTGATCTTCAGTGTCAAACCAACTAAGGCTTCTGTTTGTAAAGGTTTGGAGTAGTCAGTTAGAGATTCTTTCTGTGACGCACACGTTAAGTCACTTGGCTTTATGGAAGAACTGACTAACTTGACATAGGGTTGAAAATTCGGTTCTTGCTTTTTCTGCTGAAGACTGTAGATTTCCACACTAATTTCGATGTAATGAATTCCTGTCTCACTTTTTCAATTATGGTTGTCTTTCACTTCCTGAAATATGTCTCCTGTGGTTGAACTGGTGCTGCCTAGGCGACTGAACAGAAGAGTGCTTTTGATTACGCTCATTTAAGATGAGCGGTGTTTATTTTCAGTATGTTATCCTCACCACGTCTGAATTCGTTAAGTCTACGTGATGCCCTGTCTTCTCTGCCTTTTCTACCAAATTGTTGACTATTTTGTCCAATCTTGAAGTTTTTACGACATGAGACATAAAACATATACGAAAATCGAATCTTCTAAAGTCTTCTTGTTGTTGCGATGTATGCTTTGATTGAA